CGAGTGACTCTGGATTGCTGTGGTTTGTGGGTTTAAGCAAAGCAGGGGCCGTGGTGGGAAGGCTTTAGGAGGACAGATAGCACCTATGTAATTATTGGAAACTTGTGTGTGTTGGGTGCAGCAAGGATGGGGGATCATCTAGCTTAGGTTGAGAGAACCACCCACCATGTGAGAGCGACTTTGTGCATCTACAGAAGGCGAGGCTATATATACAGAAGGGGGTAAGGGCTGCGAGCTGAACCTCTCCCATGAAGATTTATTCTAGGACATGTTTGGGACTATTTCTTGGCAAGATTTGCGTTGCTTTTCTTTCCTATTTTGGCATCATTGTAATTATAAATGGGCTTAAAAGATTCTTTTGCCTACCAGCCACTGAAATGAGGTAAGAGGCATCCATGCTGCTTATGCCCAGCGTCCTGGCCCTTGCTACCAGGTGGAAGATGGGCACGAAGTAGGCCAAGTGGCTGAACAAAAAAGACCACGTGAAAATGCAGAAGACGGGATCCTTCAGTGGGGAGAAGTCGAGGAGAGGATGTGAATTTTCTTTTTCAGTCGGTGGAAGGGATTTGTAGCTTCTCTTGGCCTCGGTGGCTGTTTCTGGCGAGCAGCTGTCCGCGGGGGGTTTCTCAAGCCCTTCCAGAGCCGACGTATTTACCGGACCAGAGACATCTCTGCCATGGGGCATCGGGACTCCCTCTGTGGTGGGAAGGTCCTTTGCACTGCGAAGCTGTATTTCCCTCTGAGTGGTTTCATCTAAGCGTCCAGCAAGGGTTTCTGGATCCTTCTTTGCCATTAAAGACCCACGGTCTTGATTTTTAGCAGAGGAGCGTTGAGGTGGCTGGGTGCTGACGGGTCGCAGCAGCATGCTGGAAGGCACGAGGTTTAACGTGATGCCTCCAAAAATCAGGAGAGTACCTGAGGGAAGAGAGAAGATGCTTTATTCTTGGCATGGGAAAGGAGGAGCAGTAGGAAATGATCTTTCTAGAACAGGCTGTCGTTTGTATTGAACATGGAGAAAGCTCTGTCATAAGGAGGAGGTATCTTACAGGAGCTTTTATTCCTGCTTTCTAGCTGGAAGTCCCTTTTGCTGTGATGCATGCAACAAATTCAAAGCCACCTCTAGGATTTGGGAGTTTGTTTTGTTTTTCCCTCATTAGAAGTCCATTACACGTGACGGACCTTGAAGATGGCCTGAAAAAGTGTAGTAAAAGTAGGGATTTTCAGTTTTGGTTTTGGTTTCTGAGGTCTCTGTTTTGACTCTGGCTTAACTTCAATGACTGATTAAGCGTTTAATTGTTAACCAGCTGTCCCCAAACTATCCTAGAAGAGGCAGAGTTGTTCTGCAGTGCATCCAATTTTAATTTTTAAAAAGATCCTCTTATCCTGCCCGGATATCCTCAAACACCCTCTTAGTGCTGATGAATTTGGATAAAGGGGAGATGTGCTCACCTTGCCAGCCATAAAAATCGATGAGAAGTTGAGTGAACGGCGCGATTAGAAATGTCAGCCCCATCCCGGAGCGGGCAATGGCGTTGGAGAAAGCCAGCCGTGTCCTGCAGCGCTTGGCCATCATCACCGCAGCCGCCTGGTAAAGGCAGGCGAACCCCATACCTGCGAGAAGGGGAGAAATAAGATGTCAGTGCCCCAAAAGTGGCTGCTTCGTGTTGTGAGCTTTCGGGGTTCAGTCACGCCATCCCAAGCTTGTTGGCCCCATAGTAGAGCTGCTCCGCAGGGTTCGTGGGCTGAACGCGGGGGGACTTTTGCTGTTGCAGTCAGCGGAGAACGGGATTCATGCGTGGGATTTGGTATCTGGGGTTTTTGAGGCTGTGTGTTTTTAGTAAGGGATTTTAAAAGGCCAGGATTCATGTTTTAGCAAGGCCTGTTGTGACAGGACAAGCAATAATGGATTTAAACTAAAGAAGAATAGATTTAGACTGGATAGAAGGAAGAAATGTTTTACAGTGAGGGTGGTGAGGTGCTGGAAGGGGTTGCCCAGAGAGGTGATGGAGGCCCCATCCCTGGAAATATTCCCGGTCAGGCTGGACGGGGCTCTGAGCACCCTGGGCTGGTTAAAGCTGTCCCTGTCACTGCAGGGGCTGGGCTGGGTGGGCTCTAAAGGTCCCTTCCAGCCCAAAGCATCCTGTGATTCCATGATTGGGTCTGGAAAAAAAGCAAGGTTAGTTGGGTCTAGCATGTTGAAACTGGTATTTTATGCTCCCGAGCATGAAGCTTTGGAGTTTCACACAACATCTGATAGAAAGGAGCTGGGGATGCTTTGCTGTTAAAGGAATTGCCTGGCTTAACATTAAAGAAGCTGCTTTTACTCATCGTGCACAGGAAAATCTCTGCCCGACCGTGAGTCGCAGGCTGCTCACCCAGGAGAAGTCCCATGGAGACGCAGAGGAAGGGGACGCTGGTGGCCTGCGTGCGGAGCAGGCAGCCCCCTCCGATCAAGCCGGCCCCGATGATGGAGGTCGGCCGCTCGCCCAGCCTCCTGCAGACCACGGCCACGAGCGGGGCTGGAAGGGAAAGGAGGGAGAAATCTGGGACTGAAGGTGACAAATGACGCTTTGCAGGGCCCGGGGACTTGTGCTGGGGTCATTGCATCTGGTGCCCCGGCGAGGGGTCCATGTGCCACCCTGGGAGGGAGGGAGTGGCAGAAGAAATTTGGGTTGGGTTAATATTCAAGAGCACCAGGAGAGCAGCCAAGAGACCTTGCCTCGTACCCTGGGAGCTCGGGGGACGGGGCAGGGGAAGGAATCAAAGCCCAAACTTTCGGATGGCCTGAGCCTGCTTCCTAACGCACACCACGCTCAGTGGCCGTGAATTATTCGGCAGCTGGCTTGCTCGGAGGCAATACTATTGGTGTTAGGGGTGAGACTTTGCTCTGAATGTATATAAAAAACCTGCTACAGCGAGGCATCGTGACACACACGATCCCCGTCCTCGGAGCATGCTCCTGCTAAGACACACGTGGGTACCAGCCGTGTCCGGCCTGCGGCAGCCTGGGATGGACATCGGATCTGCAGAGCGTCCTCGGTGCCCCTTATAGCAAAGCAAACAGGCTTGGGGTTGAAGTAAGGATGCCGGCTCACCTCCTAAGAAGCGCAGGGAGGACATGATGGAGCCGATCCAGCTGACTTGCTCGGAGGAGCCCCCCACCTCCTCTTGGAAAGCCACGAAGAAAATCCCAAAGGTCTTGAGCATCCCCATCACGAGTACGTTGACCTGGATTGGAAGCAGACGGAGGTGAGATGCCACAGGGGTCAGGCGGGAGGAAAAGCTTTTCCTTCTGCTTTTCTTGTGTGGATAATTTGTTGTGTTTGGGGAGAAACAAACTGCGACGCGTTAACTGGTGTGGCGTGTGTCGGGGAATATCAGCAGGGCAGACTGGTGGTGGCCACGCTGCGGTTTATTAACAGACCCTCAAAAAACCTGTGCAAACTGGCTTTTCCAAAGAAAAGGAAGAAAATAACACTAGACCCTGAGTCTTGTAGGGCTTTTTTGCACTGTAAGTTATTTTTTAATACTAAAAAATAATCTAAATGGGTCTGGGCGCTCTGGAAGATCGCTAGGAGTTGTCGAGGCGTTGAGCGGAGCAGGGATGGACATGAGCCGGCGCGGTTTCCCAGGCTAGCCCTGCCACGGGGGCAAAGGATGCTTTGTGTCCTCGGGGCTACCTCCCTCCCTCCTCCCTCGTAGCGGGTGGTTAATGATTGGCAGCGAGTTACTTTGGATGGAGTGGAAGTGGGGAAAACTTTCCTGCGCTTCCCAGCTTTCCTAGCTGGGGGATGGCGTTGTCTTCGTCACCGATGGGAAGATGGTGTGGGGTGTTAAAGCCTGTAGCATGGAGAATTAGCGCCTTTAAGTGGTGTGGAGATGCCCGGTCCTTCCGGGAGAGCATAACCGAGGGGGTGCAGGCTGCCTGCACCCTGTGCTGCTCCTGCAGTTGGTCCCTGCGGGCTCCGATCCGGATCTGGGCTCCGATCCGGATCTGGGCTCCGATCCTGCGCTGCCCCAAGATGGGATCTCGCCCTTACCAAAGGTACAAGAGACCCCGCTGGGGTTTGACGCCCCGGTGGTGGTGTGTATGAGTAGGGAAGAGCCATCCTATCGTCGCAAGCTGCCTTTTGGCCCTGGGCTGCAGGTTGGGCTCCTTGGCTGACACCACCCAGATGCCTTCGGGTGGCGTCCCGTGGGGGAAGGCGCGTGTCTGCTCAGCCTGCAGCGGAACGGGTGATGGCGCTCGGTGTAGCAAAGCACCGCTGACTTCTGCCCTTAGCTCGGTGGGGTTACCCTGCCCTGTCCTCTGCTCCCTCCGAGTGAGACTCAAGACTTTCTATCTGCCCCAGCTTCAGGAGGGTTTAGTTGAATTTGTTCTCTGCTTACCAGGAAGAAGTGAAACACCACTCCCCATGCCCACCCTCCGTCCGCAGCTTCAGCGCCTGGGCTCTTCCCGGCTGCCAGAGCCTCCGGCTCTTCCTCCTTCCTTTCCCCTGGAAATGAGAATTTCAGGACACATTAACACCTTGCTCCGTTGCTGTTTCAGTTCAAAATCTGCTCCCGTGAAAGCATCGGCTGCCTTTGAACCCTTTTGCTCCTTGGCTGGTAATGAGGTAGGCACCGGTATTTCGCGTTCAACTTCCAAAAGCTTTTGCAGGTGGGCGAAGCTTTTATCAACCTTTTGCCAACAGCTGTTAAGTTGCACATTATCACTGCCTGCAAACAGTTTAATATCCTTTCTCTTTCCCACCAAATTACTGTAACCACGTAAGCTTTAAGGGATTTTAAGTGACAAGCACCTTACTGCCGCTGTAGAGCGGACAGTTTGGTTTGTGCCAGAAGTTGGGGGGGGTCACTATCTGTGTCCGTCTTTGAGCTCCGTGGGAAGCTCTCCCTTCCCCATCCTCCTCTGCTCATCTCCCATCCTCTCACCCATCCTGCACCTCTGGCAGCGGCAGGATCCTGGCGAGCGGGACCCTAGAGCAGTCGGGGCTGATGAACCTGAAACTTTTCCTTACCGCCTTGCTGCCGCATGCTGGAAAATCCTCCCTGAAACAGTCGCTTGCAAAGAGGAATCGTCTCTTCGTTTGCTCCAGAGACTAAATCCCCCCTTCCTGACTTGGCACCCCAAAATCTGGTCCGTCATTCGCCTCTGGTGAGGACGATGGTGTCCGTCCTTCCCGACGAGCCCTGAAGCAGGACATGGAGCCCAGCAAGCACTGGGGCTGTGTGGACGGAGCCCGTCCTCCTCCTCCCCGGAGGCAGAGCCTGGCTTGCAGGGCCCCAAGGCGAGGAGTCCCTCCCCTTCCCCAGCTGGGAGCAGGAAACCCGGGGCTTTCGGAGCAGAAATCCTGTTGGGAGGAAGCCTGCAAGCGTTATAGCTCCTGGCAAAGCCCTGGGTCTTGCCAGACGTGGAGCGCAGCAGTAGGTGGCAATGGTGCACTGGAGCCAAGCCCGGGGCTGCTGGCGGCTGCAGGGGAGCGGAGCCCGGTCCCTGCCTGTCCTGCCCGCCCTGCCTCTGCTGCATGGCCCCTGGCCCGGGAAACTGCGTCATTTAGGAGGGGATAGTCTGGAAAGCTTTAGGTTTTCCAGTGAAGATGGTCAGCAGCTGGAGCAGAGCAGCTGTGCTGCTGCAGCCCTTGAGCGGAGCTGGTAGTTGAGCGGGATTTGAGTTGGCTCCACGCCTCTATCGTAAATATGCACAAAGTCCCGGGTAAATACAGCCCTCACGCTTCCTCTCCCTGTTTCGGTTGACCTGTCACCCCAGTCGGTGTTCCTGGGGTCAGATAAAATTGTAGGATCGTGCTCCCGCTCTCCGCTCCCCTCCCTTGGCAGAGAAGGCGATGCTCTGTCCTGCTGCAGGAGCCCGGGACAGGAGTGTATCAGAGCCTATGGAGGAGCTTTCCCTAGAGCAGGGCTTGTAATATGTGCATTAAGCTTTTATTTAAGTGGAGTATTTTTTGCAGTGAGTATGGTTTAAGGGCTTGAAGGACGGGGGGTGCTCAGCAGGCAGGGGGCTGGGGGTGCTGGCAGCAGCATCTGGTGCAGCATCTTGTACTGGGAGCTGTCGGATGTCCGGGAGGAAACGCGCCGGCTTGAGCTGCTCCCAGCTCCGTGGGCTGTCAGGGAGAGAGGAGACCGGGGACCCTTCAACGCTGCCGCAGAGCTCGGACGCACCAACGCCCGCTGCCGAGGCTGGGGCGTTACGCAGAATTAACACCGACCTCGACAGGCACGGGGGGCCCAGCCGCGCAGGGCAGGCTCGTCCCTACTCGTACACAGCAACGACTGCGAGGCTGTGAATGTTGCTAGCAAGCAGAGCTGCTCCTCGTAGTAAAGTCAAAGCAGCGTGAACGTTGTTTTATCTCTGACCCAGGCCAATTTGTCAGCTCGTGCTCTGCTGTGAAGCTTCCCTTCCGCTTTGCGCGTGGCCAGCTGCTGGCCAGCTCCTTTTTACTCCCTTACACGTAGGAAGCGTTTGAGTGTTAGCAGCTTTTCAAGGGAAAAGCCCTTCCGCAGGACTTTTTTCCCTGCACTATTTCAAATGCTCAAAGCTGTAAGAAGGAAGGCCTGGATTTGTGAGGATGTTGTCAACATCCATTTACAGTTCACACAGGGACCAGACAACCAGGGCAGGCAGCGCCAGCACGTTTGGGTTTGAACTTCAATCCAAGGCATAGTAAGCAAGTAACTCTCGCACAGAACGTTTAACTAGAGGCTAAACATTTCCTAGGAGAAATTCCTTGGAAAGTGTTTGTACCTTTTCTGCTGGAGGAGCCTCCATTAATTCAAGTCTTTGTGCACTGCTCCTTTTCTCTAGAGAAGTGCTAATGAAGAAAGGATTGGGAGAAGTCACCTCATTTAGCTTTGGAAACAAGGCAAAGCAATGGGCAACAGTTTTCACAGCAGGAGCAAAGAGAAGTAAAGGCGTGTTTTTGCAGGTCATTTATTGATTTCTCCAACAAATAAGGCCACACACACCCCCCTCGTAGTATCTGATCATTACATGAGCTTAGTGAGTGACCCGCATGTCATCCTCAGCAGCACAAGTGCTAAAATGTGAGTTGGAGACCCCGATAGCTGCACAGGAGCTGTTAAGTCGAGAGGGAGAGCCTTCAGCCCGGGTTTGGTACTACGAGCACGTTCTGCGCTGGAGCAGCAGAGGAAAGTGGTTGTCCAGTGAAGAGGAGCTGGGCCAGAGGTGGGAGCGGAGCGCTGCGCAGGTTCCCGAGGGTCAGGATGCTAGCTTGTGCACTGCTACAGTGATGCTGTCATGCTTCTGGATCATGATATTCCTAGAAGAAGGATAGTGCGGAGGCAGTTGAGGAGCTGGGGGATCCCGAGTGTGGAAGAAGTATAGGGCTGCAGTAGCCACCACCCCCTGAAAGGTTTCCTACTGCTTTTATGGTTCCTGCTCCTTGAGTTCTCATTAATCCAGTGAATTCACATGCCTACGGCTGCCCAGGGAGGTGGGGGAGTCCCCATCCCTGGAGGGGTTCAAAAAAAAGGGCAGACGTGGCACTTTGGGACGTGGTTTAGTGGGCATGGTGGTGTTGGGTTGACGGTTGGACTGATGATCTTAGAGGTCCCTTCCAACCTTAATGATTCCTAGTTTTACTTTCATTAAAAATAATCCAGCCCCCAAGCCAGGAAACATGAAATTATGACTCTGCCCTTAATTGGTTTAGTGGTGGACTTGGCAGTGTTAGGTTAATGGTTGGACTGGATGGTCTTAAAGGTCTTTCCCAACCTAAACGATTCTGTGATTCTATGATTCCCGCCGTGGCTTCAGCGATGGGGCTTCCTCCACATCTGCCAGCTGAGCTCCAGATGAGGAGAGCTGCTCTGGGGATCTGACTCTGGGGAGGGCCCCAAGGCTGGGGGAAAGGTGAACGGAGGGGGCAAAAGCGGCACCCCCGGCTGGAAACTCACCCGCTGTCTGACTCCAGGCACACCACGGGTGTATCGGTCGGGTCGGAGGTGAGCTTGGCTGCCTGCTGCGCGAGGACGGAGATGACGCCGGCGTGCTCATCCGAGAGGGTTCCTCGACCTGCGAGAGGTGGGAGCCGTCGGCTGAAGCCACGCGTGCCGTGACAGTGCTTCGCGTGAAGCAGCCGCCCCCCAGGGCCAAGGGGGCTGCTCCTGCTCGGGCCCGTTTGCCTCCCCTGTGGGCTGATGCAGCTTCTCCCCGAATTGTTGCCCTCAAACCACCAAAAAGCCTGAACTGAAGCGGCAGGAGGAGCTGGCTCTGGTTTCCTCCGGTGTGCGTGGGAAGCTGAGTACCGTGGTGCAGGTGGGTGCTAGAGGGACCCTGGGGACACCGGAAAGGGGTTGGGGGGGTGAAGGCTGCGGTGGGGCAGGGCCTGGTGCCCCCGGGGTGCGTGGGAAGCCCCCGCAGGCTGGGA